GCTGGGTGTTCGGGTGTGTGTTTGTGGCCCCGCCCGAGTCTCTCAATCCTGTCTTTTTCTACTTTTTTTTTTTTTCTTTACTATATTCTTCTTTTCTCCGCCTTGGATTTGAGCGGAGATCGGGTTGTGACTGCTTGAAAATACGGCTTGGGAAGTCCTGGCCGTTACGGGTAGACACAGCCATGTGTAGCAGGAGCTTGCTTATTCTAGAAGGGTGGATGGACTTAACGACGATATGGTGGCACATTCCACTGATTGAGACTCACCAGTCTACGATTATGATGTGGGTAGCAAACCTAGGTGACCCGTTAAATTCGAAAAACCCCCAAAACTTCAGCATTTTTCTGTTGGAGAGAACTCGGTAAACTGGTTCCTTCCTGAAGATGGATGTTATTTCTCTCTTGCTGACTGTTAGCTTCTTTGTTGTGAGTAGATAGCTGTATGGTTTCAAATACAGTATTTTGAAATATGGGTACTCCTTTGTGTACATGTGTTTGTCTTACAAATGTTGTTATAGGTAAGTAGTTCTGTACTCTACTGGTTTTGTCCCTCATTGTATCATTAGCAGCAATTTGTGAGTAGTATTTGGGAATCCGTTTTCCTGTGTCGACATTAGTCCCTCATCCTTCTCCTTGCAACAGATGTTTATTCCTTTATGCTTTTCCTGTCTTGAGCTGTTCTATCCTTCATTTCAGAAAGGCAGCACTACGTTCATATTTGTCAGAGTTTATCGTATGCAAACAATATTGTGTCAAAATACTTCAGGGTTCCCTCTATCTGAATTCTTGATCAGCTAAATTGACTTTTATTTCTCAACAGTTTGCTGCGATATTCTGCCATCATCTTTAGTGTAAGAATATATAATCATGAAACATACTTCAAAATCTGCTTCTTAACATCTTGTTCAGTTGTGCTGCAGTATTTTTAATGGGAAGATCTGAAAATGTGGTTAAAACCTTTTCATTTAAACACTCAGCATGATAAGAAAAATCTGGGATGTCTTTAATGCCTTTGCTGTTAGGATTTTTAGAGTTCTGTGCCCAACTGTTCTACAGTTTAGAAGGTAAGCTTTACACAACCTCCCTGAATTTGACTGTTTCAGAAGTGGACAGAACTACCAGATTTTAAGAGCATCAATTTTGAGAAATAAATATTGAAAGACGGGGGAACCAAATCTCTTTGAGCTGCAGAAAATGTTAGGTGGTAGTAACTAGTGTATGCTTAATTTAATACTCCTAGAACTGCTAAAACCTTTTAACTGCTTATAGTGACTGACATTTAAAGTCTTTCCCTGTTACCTGAAGTGTTGGTGCTCCATTGAATCCTCTCGCTAGTAAACATTAAACTCTTTGGGCTGCTGGAATTGAAAATTTCTCATCAGTTCTGTATTCCTGTTAGCAGCAGAGGTTAGCGCAGGAAGTAATAATGTAATGATCCTAAGCTGCACTTGAGATAGAGGTACTAGAAGTGCCTTTTTTTGCTGCAGCGAAGAGAGGCCTTGATCTGAGGAGGGGATGGGAAGGCTTCTGGTTTGTTCCCATCCCTAGCAGATGTCTTAGTCTTCTGACTCACCTGAAAAAATAGCGTGGAGAAGCCTTCTGGTTGAGTAGGAGTGTGGAAGAAATACGGTTTAACTTTTTACTGAGGTGATTCCATGCAAAATATTTCACTTTTTGCATCTGCTAGCCACAGGGTTGATATCTAGGGAATTTCCATAGCTGGTTCATAGCTGGAAATGAATATAATTTTAGCCTTGCCCAGATGTTACTCTAGCTTATAGTTTAGAAAACTACTTGTATCTTTGTGCAGGACAGTTGTAAAAACAAGCTGAAGACTCTCTCTGTAGTGTGTTTGTGAATTTTACAACGTTTGTTCTTTATTTGCCATATTATCATTTCTGATATTACATCATTTTGTTATTGAAAGTTTTATACAAAGTAAAATTACATATATGCTTGTTTGGTATAGTTACTGAAGAAATGCTATTAATAAGTAAACCTCAGTTAAACTGAACATTGTTAGAGTTTAATGGTGGGGAGGGGTTATAGTAAAGATCTTTCAAAAGATGAAAATTTTAAAATAACCTTAGTTTTCTTCTCTTATCATAGAGAATGTCTGAATGTAAGAGCATAGAAGTAGACTTTTTTTAATAACTAGATAGTTATTTGTTGTTATTAATTTTGCTTCAATTTAGAGCATCCACAATCCCATATTTTAAAAATGGTGCTGAACTTACCAGCAGTCCATTCTTGCTCACTAGTCTTTAAGAAAACTACTCAGCATTTAATAGAATGTCTTTTCTGGCTCAGCCTGCTCTGTACATGATTCAAGCTGGGCGTACCAGTCATTCTGTTGTGAAACTTGAAATGTGATATGGAGTATGTATTTACCAGGAAAGGAAGTAAGCTAGTTTCTCTTCTGTTGTGCAATATTACTTTTGATAATACGTTTAGTATAAAGACAGTGCATGCATGGTGA